AAATCAACATCAGTTTTCAAAAGTTAATAGAATAAATTATGTCCTTCCTTGCTAAAGTTTTTATGTTGTAAATGTGTACCAAAACAAAAAGTTGAGAGGTTTTTATCACACACATTGTGTGACCCACAGTAAAACAGACAATTGTCCTTAAAGTTCTTTTTCAACTCTGAGTTTTTTCATCTCTGTAATACATTTTTTTAAGGTTTGAAGGACATTGAACATTTTTGAATGAATGATAATTTGAAGAAAGAACTTTTTTATTTTTATTTATTTATTTATTTAGTCTTTTTGAGACAGGGTTTCACTATGCAGTTCAGGCTGTCCTTGAACTCACTTTATAGCCCAGGTTGGCCTCCCTTGCAGCGATCCTCCTGCCTCAGCCTCCTGAGTACCACTGGGATTACAAGTGTGTGCCACCACGCCCAGTAGAACTTTCCTTTTTTTTAGTTCTACTTCTCTTACATTTTATGAGACATGCTAAACACATAATTATCCTTATTTATTTGACAGCACAAAATGTTGCCTGTGCTTTTAAACTGGGACTAATTTACACTTTCTCAAAGTTTATAGGCACTGAAAGGAACCACAGTTGTCTTCAAATTGCAGGAAGAAACAAAAACTTCCCCAGGCAGTAACAATGAAGAAACAAGCAAACAACAACAAAAATAAATAAAATTAAACCCAAACAGACAAAAAGCACAAATTCCTGCAAAAATCTTCAAAGTTAAAGCTGTCAGGAAATGAACAGTTTTTTTTTCCATATTTTGCAGTAACTACATTTTTATTTCAAAATTGACTATCATTCCGTAGAAATGCAAAATAAAAATTCTATTTTAATGTGTTTGTCTCCTGTTGTCCAATATTTTGTTTTCTTTTACATTTTAAAAGTAGAAAAGCCTCTGTTAGATTTAAAATTCACTATATATTCTGAAGATTTATACAAAAGAAAACAATTCTATGCTTCAAATGATGTCTTTTGTATTATTTACAAAAGTAAGAAAATTTGATGTGTCCTGTTATGCATACATAATAAGCAATGATTTACATCTACTGAACTGAATAAAAATGAGTTTTGAAAAATTTGGGGAAACATGGGAAAGTAGTGAAAAGGTTAAAAAAAAAACAGTGAAAAAGATACAAAAAATAAGATGTCAAAATGTGGGACTTACAAATAGACAAATGCTGGACAGAAATATTTAGGAATAAAATTAATTTTGTACAATGGTGAAATCGTTGATTTTTACACTCTTTCCAGTTTTTAAAAATTTTTGTTCTCTTACATCCCCACACCAATTATTTGTCTACATTGCAGGAAAATGGATCAGAATCCTAGTTTTCAAAATGAAATTTTGAAGTGAATTCCATCCCTAGCCCAAACCCTGCTGTAGAAAATCTGGAGGAAGAGGAGGAGAGGAGATTGAAAGGAAGAACAACAGGAAACAGCAACAATTTTATTATTATTCAAGAAAGAAGAGGACAATTTATCCTGTAGCTTTTTTTTTTTTTTTTTTTTTTTTTTTTTTGTATTTTATATTTTACTCTTACAGCAACTAACTGAGCCCTACATGGGAGATTCATCTTTCCCAAAAAAGGCAATGTAGAAAAAAAGTTAAATACTGTTAGTTTTGTGTAAAATCAGTAATAATAACAATAAACCAAAAGCAAGAACAGAGGCAAAGCTGTGGGATTCCAAGTCTGGTCATTCCTCTTCCTAGTTTAGCAATGTCTCTCCAAGGACCAACTCTTCTTTCAGGTTAATTTTAGGCTCAGAGAGCAGAAATGCAGCTCTAATCCTCAGCATTCAGCCCCCCAACCCAGCCGAAAATATCCAGGGCACGGAGGAAACAGTAATGTGGGACCAGAGCTGAATCCAGCCTGATGCATCCTGCCTATGTCCTGACACTGATCCACTGATCTCTGCCACACACACACACACACACACACACACACACACACACACAAAAGCCCCTTTTTGTTGGAAGGGTATGTGGAGAAGTTCAGAATTCAGTCCAAAAACTGATTAAAAAAAAAAAAATCCGTTTCAACTGATCAATAACTAATCAATTTTAAAATATTTTAAAAGACTATTGAAATAAACTTATATTTCCTTCCCCAATGTCACTTTAAATACATTTAAGACTGGCTAGTTCCAGCTAACATTTAGACTTCTTTTACATATTTTTTGTTTTATTTTCTTTCATATTTTTAAATGGAAAAAGTTGAAAGTGAACTGAATTCATTTTATTTTTTTAAATTTGCCTTTACTTTTAGCATGCTAAAAGATGGTTTGTACTATGTAGTAGTTTAAAGGTCTGGCTGAGGGTCTTTTTTCTTTTTTTGGTGGGGGGTGCAACTTACTTTTGTTTTAGAGATAGAGTAGTAGATATGTTCTCCAGGGACAAAGTCCAGAAGTGCTTGTATCAATACCTAAAGATTTACTAAAGGTCGAAAAGACCACTTGCAATCGCTGGTTCCTGGGGTACCCTGCCCACTTACATTCTTCCGTGTCCCCCACTATAGCAGAAAAGATATAAGGAGCTGGGGGCTCCCATTTAGCAGAAGGCCAGGGAACTCAACAGGCTTTCCGAAATCATCTTTTAGCTTTTCAAAAGTCCACACACAGCCCCGGGAAAAAGTCCCCAAGCAACAGTCACACACAGCATTCTGGCTTAGAGAATCTGTTTCTGGACTCTTTAATTTCCGGAATTCTCGTTGCAGTTTATTTGAGCTTGTTTTTCATTCAAACATTTCTTGAGTGCCTACTATGCGGCAGGCACGACTCCAGCTCATTGGCTCGGTTTGTTTTAAAATCCCGCTCGAGGGCGGGCGCCGCGGGAAGGCTGAGGCCGATGGGGCGCGCAGGGCGCAGGGCGCAGGGCGCAGGCGGGCCGCCTCCCACCTCGCAGCCGCGCTCTCCTTCTGCTCACCGGCGAACAGCTCCTAGCGTTTTCATTCCTGTTGCTTCGCGGGAAGAAAAATGTCATAAAAACAGAAAGGCGACGCACACGTGGCCCGCCAGACACAGGGGCCCTCCCCGCCCCCACGTCCCGGCCCCGTCCTTTGCAGCGCCCTGGGAAGACGGAGGGGACAAAGGTGCCCGCGTCGCCTTTAACTCCCCGACTTTGGGACGGGTCTCGGATCGTCCGGCAGAAGGGCGGCGAGCGAGTCGGACCCTGCAAACGAAAAATAGTCACAATAAAGCGATTCGAGGCTCTCGCAGCGCGGCAGTCAACACGTGTTACGGAGCCCGCCCGGGCGCAGGCGACGGAGACAATGGGGTCGGACGGGGGCCCGGGAAAGTGACCCCTTCCCCACCTGTCCCCCGACACGCGCGCCCCCACAGACCCGGGCCGAGCTCGCACTCGCCCGGCCTCGCTCCGGGAGACCCCACAGTCCTGGGGGCGACCCTCTCCTCTGCAGGGTCCCAGGGCCG